ATAACAGAATTTCAACATTAGGAGTACAGTACCTGTGTGTGTATGTTTTACATATGAGTATATCATTATGCTGTGTTAGTCAGGGTTCTCTAGATGAGCAGAAATAGAAGAATTAATTATATTCTTATGTATATTAAAAAGTGTTTATTAAATGGGCTTATATTATGTGGGATAGGTCAACTGAACAATGGCTCTCTGCAGCTGGAGATACTAGGAATCTAATAGCTACTCAGTGTGTGAGACTGGAAGCCTTAGCACTTCCAGTTTGACCTTGAGGGCCTGGAGGATTTGGGGGAAGCTGAGGTTTTTTCAGTCCACATAGGAAGGCTAGAAAATCTGGATTCTGATGTCAGTAAGTGATGGTAACAGTAATACCCACAACAGAGTGGATTCCAGCACCAGCAAGCAGCAAAGGCACTCAGGCAAATGCAGCCTTACTATTCTGTTACACATCGTTTAACCTAGGTTGCCAAAAGAGAGCACTACCCAGATATACCTAGAGGTACATGTCTTAGTTGGTCCCAAATCCAATCAACGTAACCACCAAAATAAACGATCACAAGGGCACTCCTTTCTCCAGCTCCTATGTTCTTTCCGCTCCCTCTTCTGCACTCCTTGGGGAGTGACACAGATGTACCAATAGTGGTTTGGCATTCAGCGATCCCTTATTCTCGGAACTATGACCAGTTATGAACCTCTGCAGTTAATTCAAAACTAATGAAATTTTTCTGGTCAAAGCTTACAGCAGCAATAATCCACACATATAAGCATAAATATTTAGATGCCAATATTTAAAAGGCAGTTCATTCATTTAGCAGAGACCCTCTGGGGTCTATGGCCTCCTTGGCCACAGGATTTACACTAGGTCCACAGAATCAGACATGAAAGTCATCCTGTATAGCAGGTCCCCAATCCAACCAGAAAGCAGTTGGTTATCCTGATAACTTCGATGACACTATTGCCCACAGTAGGCTCACTTTGCCTGGAAGACAATCTGTGGAAGCCCATGTCAGTACGAAATGCTGAAGAGACAGAAGGAGAATTGTGACTCTCTGGCTGGCCACAGCTTTAAGTTTGCTTACATTCTCTTCCATGTCAAACTGCACTTTTTGAATGTTTTCTAGAGAATGTTTTGCTCTTTTGTACCTTAGACTTAAGTGCAATAAGTAACATTGTACCCAGTCCAAATGCTCCCCTGTTTTGAAATTTGTTTCCACCAAACAAATTCCTCTATCATTACCTTTAAATTCAACCCTATTCAAGTTTCTTGGACATGCATTTACAGTTAGATTCTTTGCTAGAAAATCATGAATGGCCCTAGCAGATTCTGATATTCTTTGTTCTTCTGTGAAACCTCATGAGCTAGGGCTCCATTGCCTCTATTTTTCTCAGCAATCTTGTTATCCAGGCTCCAATGAGAATGGCTCATTAAGTTCTCTTCACAGTATTCAAGAGATTTTCTAGCCATTGTTCCAAGTTCTTCCACAATCTCCTCTCAGACTAGTTACAAAAGCCTACGTGTCTTGTGATCTGGTTTATCAGAACAAGGACCCATCTTTTGATACCAATTTTCTGAGTTTGCTACCCTCCTCACCGATGTAACAAAATACCTGATCAAAACAACTTTAAGAAAGGAAGGTTTCTTTTGCTTTATATTGCTAGGGGAGGTCCATGATGTTTGGGAAGGCCTAGTGGAAGGAAGGGAGGCTACTGGCCACATGGCATTGCAATCAGGCCTGAGAGAGTGATGGATGTTGTATTCAGTTTCCCTTTCATTTTTATCAGTTCCAGGATCCCAATCCATGGAATGGTCCGACCCACAATTAAGGTGTTTCTTCCTACTTCAATTAACATAATCTATATAATCTCTCACAAGAATATGGAGCACCTAATCTCATCTAGGCCTCCACAGGGATGTCCAAAGTCTAGAGAAATGTAAATAATCCTTTACAGGGATGCACAAGGTTTTAGCCTAAGCAATCCTAGCTTTAGTTAAAAAAAAAAAAAAAAAAAAAAAAAAATAAATTTTTTTTTTAAAAAAAAAAAAAAAAAAAAAACATTACATGTTTATTATTAAAAAAAATGATCTGATTTACATTGAAATCATCACCATTCTACTCTACAGAAACCAACAGAGGCAGTGAGGCTGGAAGAAGGAAAAGGACAGAGGTAACTGAAAGATCCCCGGAGACTCAGGCCCCCGGGATCTCAGCCCAGGACCTCGGCCACCCCAATCACCAGGAAGAGGCAAAAGCTTAATGCAAACAGCAAGAGGCTTTGTTGCAGTTGTTTAACGAGCTAACCCCATGTTAGCTTGGGCCTTTCATCCATCCACCATGGCGGATGGCTAGGAAAGACGTGGCAAAGCCACAGTATAGAGATCTTATAGGGCAGCGTAAGGGGTTACTCACAGGCTCAGGATTGGTGTGCCTCCAGCAGGGCTTGCCCTGTGTTGATTGGCCAACTGGTTGTTATGGCCCAGAGGGCCTCCCAGTGGTTGCTATGCTCTGTGCGTCATTGCTGTGTGCTTGTCCAAAAAGCACACCCACAGCCATAAAGCATAGCGCCACCAGCTAACTTCTGATTGGTTCCTTGCCACAAGGCAGGCATCTGACCTCCTAGTGACCAAGGCAAGGTCAGACAAGCACATGTTCCACTGTTATGGCTGCCAAAATGGAGAGCTGGTCCCTTCAGTAACCAAAAGAAGATTGGAGATAGCTCCATTGGGAGAGTGCTTATATAGTCTGAATGAAGCCCTGGGTCACATGTAAAACCTGAATATGCCTAAAATCCTTCCACTCAAAAAGTGAGGCATAGGGATCAGAAGTTGGAGATCAGATAGCCAGTTTAAGGCCAGCCTGGACTTACCTAAGATCCTGTCTTAACATGAACAAAGTAAAACGAAGCAAGCAGAACAAAAATGAAGGCTACGTGAAGAAAATCATTCAAAATGTGGAATGTTGTCTTACTGGCTTCATTATATTATAAAGTAAGGCAAACAAGATGTTGTAGTATTGGTAAGGTGTGAAAGAAAGATATTTACCTAAGCTAAATTTCACTACTTCATATCTGAAAAGCACTTTTCTAATATTTTATCAAAGATTTATTTAAAGGGAACCAGTTTACAATCACCTATTTCTAAACACAACAGTGGTGAGGAGCTCAGAGTAGAACATAGCAGTCAGGCCACTTCACAATAGGTGTGGTTTTATGACCTCTTTTCTTATGCTGAGTCAAAGCTGAGTCCTTCCCCAGAGAGAGAGAGAGAGAGAGAGAGAGAGAGAGAGAGAGAGAGAGAGACTAGCAGGAAACAAGTCAAAGGGTATAGGGCATGTTTTTGTTGTTTTTCCCAACACACAGCAAGCTATGATGTATACGGTTTCTGCTGTGTGAGCAACTTGAAAGAGCAATGTTGGGTCATAAAGATATTATCATAGAGTAAGAATTTACTTTTTCTTAAAGAGATTTAAAGACCATGACTAAAGTCTACAATATACTATGCTTATATATGTGTCTGTTGATTTAACAGATTCATGTATGACAGAGGTGACTTAAAATAAACAAATCTTATTTCAATTTAAAGCTTGTTAAGTGTCCCAAACTGCAACTGCATTTAAATATACCTTGGTCTTTACATATGCACGATATGTATGAATTGAGTTTGTCCATTACTAAATAGAATGGATGCCAGCCAGACTGAGACATATCAACTGGATATCAGCCTGTTTGAAACTATGGGAGCAGCAAGCTATTAGAGTGCTGAGCTTCAGTGGTACATATTTCTATTTTATCTTTATTGTAATGAGCAAGCCCTGTCTTTAGCTCCCGCTGTGCACTTTTGGAGGGTCTTCCATATGGTTGCTGCTAAGTACTTGGCATTTTCCCAACTGTTACAATTGGGTCAGTGGGGGGGATCGCTTAGGAGTAATAAAACAAGGGTGACTGCAGCAGGGAGGAGTGAGATTCCAACCCACATGGCAGCTTATTGCCTCTCATGCACTCAAGCACAGCTCTGTAGCATTCATTACTATGGACAGCCAGGGTAAGGCCCCCACCCCCACCCCACCCCATGGCATTTCCATGAGAAAAGGCCAAGCTCTGGGTACAGTATCTCTCCTCTATTATATTTCCAGTATGGTTTACCTTCTAAAAATGATTACCTCGAAAAAGGAAGACAATTGTACCTCACTTTCTTCTGTTCTTCCCAGAAAGAACAGAAAGTTTCCTAAGAAACTCTTGGCTAAATTTGACTAAGAGTAGTAGCAACATCGGATTATCAGTGTTGTGAGGGGTTTGATGTCTTGTGAAGTTAAAAACAAAATGCACAAGGCAAGTCTGATGATCCTCAAAACTTAAACATTCCTGAGATACAATTTGTAGATTCTGAACTGAATAATAGGGTGTTTATCATATCTATGAAAAAAAACCTCGATTACCACTACTATTACTAGATACTAATAATTGAACCAGGGCTGACACACAATCATGAGTTCTATTGAACACCACCTCCAGATTCAGCTATTTTTTTTTTTAATCCCATGGAAGGCAGTGTTGCTACATAGGAGATTCGGAGGTAAGTATGTTCAAAGGCAAATTATGATTGTAAATAGGGAAATAAGCAGATTATAATGTACATATAATTATCCACGTACGAGATTATATTTTCTATATTTACTTTATACATTCAAGAATTTAAGTAATTGTGCTCTTCTTTTAACATGGCATGGAGACTTTCGGTATCAACCTAGAGCTGTGTAGCAATTTATTAGGTATGCTGTACAGACAGTGTCTGTGTGTGTGTGAGTGTGTATGGGGGGGGGGGTGACTGCGTGGTTTTTCCTGAGTCATTTATAGAGCATCTAGAAAGAGTTGGTGACGTTTAAGCAAGAACACAAACATAAGTAGACTTTCACTCTTGTTTCCGGCCAAGAGCATTAAACAATAGTGCAGTATAAAGAAACTTGTTCGTCACGCATGCTTTTCCTGGCCAAGCAATCTCCAGACCCTAGAGACAGATGCAGGCTGGTGGAGGCATCCGGAACCGGGCAGCAGGTGAAGCTGAGTCCCGCAGGAGGCAGGGCGGGAGGCTGGAGGCCATCTGGGCGGTCGCGAAGAGCTCCCGGGGCAAGCCCCGCGGAGGGGGCCCTGAGCATCCTCCAAGGTCCGCACTGATGGCGTGGGAAGTCCTAGGGCCATCAGTCAGGCAGTCACAGGTCCTCAGTCCCCCGCACGTCCCCGGGATCCCTGATGCCTGCAGCCTGGGACAAGGAGGAAAGCGCCTGGCAGGCGTCTCATGTGCTTGAGGTCAGCGCAGACACCAGCCTGGCACTCTGCAGACTCGGAGAGCCCTGCCGGGGCGAGCCTGGCTGCAGGCTGGAGACCGCAACCTGGACTCGGGAGGAAGAGCTGGCAGCCTGGCAAGTGAGGGCAGCGCCGCGGCTTCAGACGCGCAGTGCGCAGGCGTAGGCGCAGAATGCGCAGGCGCCGCCTAGAAGTGACTTCTCCAAAAAGTGTCTTAGT